CCACTACCACTATCACTATCACTATCACTATCACTATCACTATCACTACCACTACCACTACCACTACCACTACCACTACCATTACTACTACTACTACTACTAGTATTATTACTATTATTACTATTATTAATTATTGTTATTAATTATTATTATTATTATTGTCATTGGTAGTGTTACTGTTACTGTTATTATTATATATTCGATTCGTTTAAATATTTATTTTCATTAAAAAAATATATATTTACTTTGTTAAAAACGTGTTTTTATTTACATTGAATACCAAAGTGTCATTATTTATTAATAACTAAGACCTAAATTAATTGAAAAATATTAGCTGTTTATGCACCAAGCACCATTACATTTATTATTTTTAATGTTAGTTTTATAGTTAGAGAGATAACAGATGATGAATGAATTTAGATGTTGAGATGTTTGGTCTACATACTGTTACACAATTATTATTACAAAGTGGTATAAGGTATAATATAAACAACATTGCTTCTTTTTTAAGAAAATTCTCTTTATCTTTTACGTATATGGTGTATAAATAAATGTTATGTTTTTATTTGCAATTTAGGTAGGTATATAATTGATTCATTTTCGAAAACATTATTTATTTTATCTGAAAGTATTTGTATATACCTGTAAATATATCATTATTTCATCATCATTATGATTAAAATATGAAATATAAAGAAGGGACCATTGCGTTTAAAAACCATGTTTGATGCGGCCTTCCGAAACACCCCGTGTATTTCATAACATTTTAAAAATGTCCCCCTTAAGGCGCCTCTCAATGCCTCAAAAAAATATTTTCTATCCGCATGGCATAAGAGTAATATAATCACTATTGGCCTGCCCTGTATGTATTCAATTTACGACAATATTTATAAATGAATATCCCGAGTAAAGGAAAAAGAAATTAAATATGCAGGTATGTGAATGTTGTGAATAATGGTTAAAAGAGTAAATGGTTTTTAACATTTAATTTTTTTTAAATTCCTCATTTAACTAACCATGAAAATGTTACATTACAAATCATTAAAATAATAATTTTAAAAATATCAAATGCAACTGGTATCAGACTAATAATTATTAATTACCCTATTGTACTATCAGAGTTTTTGGTGTCACGGTGTAGTATATCTCCACACTCCACTCCCAGACCGAAACATTCCGTAATTATTTGTGGTGGGGTGCGATAGAATGAGAGCGGCCAAACTGATGGGGACTTTAAGTTGCCCATCATTGTACATTATCTAGTAGGTTGCTGACAATATTTCTAAATAACCATCAAATTTCGAGTCAATATCTTTAAAACTATTTAAAATAATTAATAAAAATAGATACAAAATTAAAGTTTAAACACTGTATCTCGAAAACGAAGGATATTTCGACCTACGTTTATATGAATTTTTTTTCACAAAATAACTGGCAACCACCCATAAAATATTTCGCACTGATTTACAAACAGCGTGTAATGAGGAATAAATGGCAGGAATCGACAGTGACTCCAGCGACCATGAGTTTGAGGGCGATGAATCAGAAAATGAAATAGATAATAGATTCTTCCACACATAACGTTTATTATAAATAAATATTTGAAAAAAGTTGTATATTTTTATATAATTACTAGTAAAACTTAAAAAATTAAAAAATAATACATCTCATACCGCACAAGCTGATATTTGGTAATACAATAGCTAACTTAGTAAGTTAAATGAAAAAAATGCTCAGCTTTATATTTAGTGAAGGAAAAGTACTCAGCTTATAAAGTCAAAGATGTACGCACTCGCGCGCATGACGATGTGCTGCACCTTCAACTCGTCAGCTGAGCACTTATGCAGCGCAAAAACTTCAGCAGACAATTTTTTTCGTATAACTGATTAAGATGACTGTTACTTTACCAAATTTCAGCTTTTGCGGTATCAGTTTACCTAGCGCATATTTTTGACTTATTTAGATGAAAAGCTGAGGCATAACCCCCTACTCTGAAGTCAGCTGATTGCGTTTTTTCGTTTGTTTATAACATAATCAACATGTCGACAAAATCTCAGCTTTTGCAGTATTAGTTTTTTCTAATGACTATTTTTCGTGTTTGGGAGGCTGCCGCAACTATACCCCCCGGAAGTGCGCGAGCTGGAGGTCGATTCTCTTACTAGTGACACCAAATGAAGCGTAGGAAAACTTTTCAGCTTTTGCTCTTTTGGTCATCAAAAAGGGCCGCTGGCTTCCGGGCTATTAGATTTGGATAATAATTTTAATTAGAATTTGAAAATTATTTCGTTGTTCTTCCAATCAAGCGACTAAATTAAGGAAACACTTAAATTCTTTGCAGCACACGATTAACGACATGGTCGATAAGTAATTAAATATTAATATAACACTGTCTTTTATAGTGCCTCCAGATATTCTTGATTATCCAACAAGCACTGATATGGTTGTGGATGAAGGAGCAAATGTTACCCTTCAGTGTATTGCAAGGGGATTACCAGATCCGAAAGTAATTTGGAAAAGGGAAGATGGGGAAAAGATAGATTTGCAAAATAATTCACAAGGTACTGTATATATTTACATTTAATATATATATATATATATGGCAATTCAGTCATAATGTCATTAATTTTAAGAGGATAAAAATGAGTATAATACGATGGCGTGATTAAAAAAAAAATTAAATGCATATTTAATCTGAAAAAAAATTTTCAAACAATTATTTAACCCCCTTTTGAGGCTGTTACCGACCGGCAGGCGGTTATTCACAGTATTGCGCACGGCTACAATATGAACAAGGCGCCCTAGATGCAACGTTGCCACATTTATATATTTTCGCTCATATAAAGACAATAAATAAACGATTTGCTCACGTCGGCCAATAATAATTTAAAATACTATAAATTATTTTTTATAATCATATTAAATTTTTATTGATACCCAGCAAGAACCTCGAAGAGGTCTGAGCATCCCTTGCCAAAAATCAGTTTTTATTAACATCATAGTGTTAATTTTTTAATTTGCTGAAAGCTAAACCGACGAGTAGTGTGCGGGTTTTCATCTGACCAAATGTGACTATTATGGCTGCAAAGAAATTAGCTCTGTTACACTTTAAATAAAATTTAATATTGTAGTTACAAAACTCCAAGAGTTCAAATAATTTAAATTTAATTTCATAACCATTTCAATTTCATTACAGAAATAATGACATTAAAAAATCAACACTCACTAGATAAATTATAAAAAGAAGATTATGTGTATATAGTATTTAAATATTGACTGTAAGTAATAGAGGAGAGACTTGTATATTCTATAAAAAAAAAACAATTAGACGGAGACAAATAAACAACTCGGTACGTGTTCCCGACCTAGACTAACCTGCTCAGGTCACTTACCTTCTAACCCACTTTTGACTTGCACGTGCACTATATGACCGTTGTAGGATCGTATTCGATGCAAAGTAGAGCAAAAAGTTGTCGGTCTTTTATCAAAGGAAAATCGTGTCATCACTTTTAGGAGGCGTAAGATGAACCATTTCAAATTTAAAATGAAATTGAACGTAAAATCTGAAATACCGCTGCATACGCACTGTGTTCTGATAGTAGCTGTAGTCGCCCAATTGCATCGAGTGCACGAAGTGGTCGGTTATACGTCAAATACTATCCTGGCGAGCTTGGTCGTAAATTAGAGAGCGTCTCCAAAAAACAAGTAAACAACAGTGCCGTACAAAGGTAAAATGTAGTACATATTTATAAACATTTTTGTCTCGATACATGATAAATAGATATTTTACCTTCAATATTGTGATAACAATTGTTATTTATTCATTAATGTTGATGCTAAAACAACAAATGAATAATGGAGATGATTGATTTCGAATGTACGGTTATTACAATTTATCATTTTTAATATTATTAACATGTTCACGTTTTATAATTTATTATGTTAAATAATACACAGTTTCAGTATTATGTTCAATTTATTATTCAAATGCAGTTGCGTATAACCAATACATAATAAATGTAAACTTTAGTGTAAATGTAAACTTTGGTGTAACCTACGTAGGTACTTATTGTTTTTGAAGAAGTAATATGTTTTTTACCTGTTTAAAATGCCAGCACGAGTAAAACAGCATGCATCCGTCCAGAGTACTTTGTTAATAAAGTTAGGTTTTGCTGCACTTCGATTTAGGAACCAATTGCAAAATTCAAGACGATTGGGGAAATCAGCTGGTTCTAAAACTTGAACTTTTTGAAAATGCTACGGGTTGAGTGAATTTTCGCGCAATATACGCCAAACTTTGGTATGTGATATCTCCAATCACCTTGAAATTGTTCTTGTGGAAATAGTAGGCTGCTCCTCGACTACATTTAAAACAGCCTCTATCACATTTAAGTCATTTTGTCGATGTCCTGCACGATCTCTCCGCGGTATGATAGACCCCGTGTCACGAAGACGCTGGACGGCTTGCGCAATTGTCCGCGGGCTTGGGAAGTTCTGTCTATCAGGGAAACGTCTCCGATATTCAATTACAGCGGCATTTGCGTTCTGTATACACTCTCCGTATAAAATCACCATGTCCATATATTCGGCATTCGTATACAAAGCCATCGCGACCGACACTTTAAACAATCCGAAATAAACTAAGAGTTTCGTGTGTCTTTCCAATCCACATCCCCTCTCCATGTGTATGGTGCGATCTTCACCAATTTTCGGAAAAAAATGCGGGAGATGTGGTGGGTGGTAGATTTGAATACACGCTTTAAATTGTTAATGGTTTTATAACCGTGTGTAGTGTATTTTGTATATTCGGGTATTTAGTGTGCCGACTTTTTTTATTTGATAAAATACGGTGTGCCTACAAACAGGTAACTACCTCTGCTTTATTTATTTTCTTTTAACGAAAGTCGACTTCGAGATGTCAGGTTTGTTAAAACATTTTGCACTAAGTTAATACAATTGTTAAAATTATTTATAATAAAATGCAGCATGCTCCTTTATTTACTTACATTTTATTGGTTTCGTACCTACATATGTATAGGTATACTAAAGCGGATTAAGTGGATACGTTTAACGCGAAACCCAAAGTAAATGTGAACCACAGATTATGATGTGAACTTGGCAACGCTGTTCGGTTCAGACTAGTTCGTGATATTACGTTACAAAATTTTACGAGCATCCGGGCATCTGACCGGACCGCCCTCTTAGTGGAAGTTATGGGTTGATTTCCTTCATTTTTAAAAGTCGAGTAAAATTTTTTTTTACGATTTTCTGTCCTTACTAGGCCTTCCGAATACGTGATTATATATATACAGGGTGTTGCATCACGAGAGGGACATGGCTTAATGGGAGATAGAGGACATCTAGGGTAACTAGGATAGCCTATAGAAATAGCTCCTTAGCCATTCTTTATTGAGATACAGGGTGATTTATAATTTTTGGTCAAAACTGCTTTATTTCATAACTTTGGTAAAGAATGGAATAATGGGTTCATATTTGGTAGGGTTAATGCACTCACGATACTTCATGTATGCATGTATGACAGCAAAAAAATCCAAAGCCGGACTGCAAAAATTGTTAATTTTTTGTGTAAGTCTAGAAAACAACGAGTAAGAAAATGTATCGAAGTTGAGGCCACTTTGAAAATTTGCTATAAAATTAATTTGCCATTGTAAAGTACATTTAGACACCTATTATTTTATTTGTGTTTTATTATTATATGTTTTCCGTATTTTATTAAATAGTCTTTGTTCCTATTTGTTTTTTTATTTCAATTTTTTTAGAAATCCTATTGTGCAAAACCGTACTTATCTTATCAACTTCAACGTCACCTGTTACATAGGTGTTGTATAATAATGAAAAAGTAATATTGACGGTTGGTAAAAGAAAGCGCAAAAACTAACGCTTAGGTAGGAAATTCTCGAAGGAAGTCTAAATGGTTGAAGATAGGCAGTTGAAGTGAGAACAGTGTGCAGATAGGTAACAAGACGATCGGCGGACAGTGTGTCAAAGTAGTGAAAAGTTAATTGTTTAAAGTGTTATTAGTTAGCAGGTAATATTCTTTAAGTCGACATTCTCGCCATATTCGTGTCGCCACGGTAGCGCAGTCGGTCGAGAGTGCGGTGGCAAGCATTTCTCGGCTTGGCTTCCTACTCTGGACCGGGTTCGATCCCCGGTGTCGGCACTAGCAATGTCGATGGATAATGGGTGTTTGTCCGCGTTTTTTCAAGTGTAGCCTCCTTCCGCACAAGCCTTTGGCTTTTGGATTTGGGGGTTGTCTCATTTCTGTGGTGTGTTTTATGTTTTT